CACCGCTTAGTCCGAAAGAAATGCGCGAAATTATCGCAAAAAGGTCAAAGGAAGAAGCCGCTACCTCACTCAAACGTCGTCCTTCGCGTAAGCCGCCACCAAGACCTGTTATCACTGCACCTACGCCTTCTCCAGCGACCGTTGCGGCAAAAAAAGCAGCTACGAAAACTACTGCGACACCGGCTAAACCTGTAGAGAAAAAGAAGAAACAGCAATTTCAAGGACGCACACAAGGTGCTCCTGGTAGTCAGCTGCACATTAAAGGTGGGCGACGCCAGAAGAAAAAAGGCAGAAATAATAGAGGTCAAGTCGTTGAGCAGTCAACAGAGCATGCTTTTGAAATGCCAACGGCTCCCATCGTCCATAATATCGAAATTCCAGATACCATTGTGGTATCAGAACTTGCGCAGAAATTATCCGTTAAGGGCGCAGATGTTATCCGTACCTTGATGGGCATGGGCGTCATGGCAACCATTAATCAAGTGGTTGATCAAGATACTGCCATTCTTATTGTGGAAGAAATGGGTCATAAGGCCACTCCAATGCAAGCGCTTGATGATGAAATCTCAATTTTAGACCTCATTGAAGACGTTAGCGGTTACGACTTATCACCTCGTCCTCCTGTCGTTACTATTATGGGGCACGTTGATCATGGTAAAACATCACTTCTGGATCATATCCGTAAGTCTCGCGTCGCTTCAGGAGAAGCCGGTGGTATTACACAACATATTGGCGCTTATCATGTTGAAACAGAAAGTGGCATTATTTCTTTTCTTGATACCCCAGGGTCATGCTGCATTCTCGCAAATGCGCGCTCGTGGAGCAAAAGCAACCGATGTAGTTATTCTTGTAGTGGCCGCTGATGATGGTGTTATGCCGCAAACGGAAGAAGCCATTAAGCATACCCGTGCTTCTGGCGTTCCATTAATTATCGCCATTAACAAAATCGATAAAGAACAAGCCGACCCAGAGCGTGTTAAAAGTGACTTAGCAAACTATGAGGTTATCTCGGAAGACTGGGGGGGGGAAGATGTATTTGTCAATATATCCGCTAAAACAGGCGAAGGTATTGATGACTTACTTGAGTCAATCTTACTCGTCTCAGAAGTGCTCGAACTTAAAGCACGTAAAGAAG